AAAAAAAATAAAATAAAATCGAACAAAAATATTTTTAAATTTAGTATATTAAAACAAATATTAAAATTCGCTGTTTTTTAACATATTAATTACAAAATGCATAAAAAGTGTTTTCCTCTTCAAAAACAAAAACAAAAAAAGCATAAGCATATCATAAATGACTAGTTAAAATATTTAAACTACAATAAAAATATAAGTATGAAATTTATAAACCAATAAAATAATATAAAATTGTTTATTGAAATGAATTTTGTTTGTTTTGGGATCAGTACCTAACTTCCAATCTCTCCTAAAACCATTTTGAGCTTCGCAGGAATTTTAGAAGATCCTTGATTTCAACGCATCTAAGGGGGATCCGTACGATAAGTCGAAAATAAAAATGTCGAAAGAGAAATGTCGAAATTTAAAAATTTTTTAAATCTCGAAATAATGTTTAACCGAAACGCAAAATGTCGAAATCGTATGCTTTCGAAATGAATAAGGTCGAAAAAAATGCAAAACGCGTAAATTGTCGAAAAAAAGTCGAAAAAGTTGAATGTTAAAAAAAATAAAAATTAAAAGTGTTCTGAGTAGATTTTCAAATGTTCTAGAGTTCCTAAGATGGAAAAAAAAAGTTCTGCGAAATTACGCAGAAAAAAATTTTTTAACGTGTTATTTAAATTGATTTTAACTTTTTGAAAAGAAGGCAACTCTAAAAATATTTCTACAATAAAGCATTCTCGTTTGATACCCACATTAAAATATTTCGTTTAAACTTTTTCAAAGAATTGATTTAAACTTTTTTAACAGGCGGCAACCCTATTACAAAATACTTCCGAAATATATAGGCTGAATTTCTTTATTCATTCTGAACGTTTGGAATAAACTTTTTTGTTTACTTATTCTTTAGAACGTTCCTGATGATATGTTAACGTATATTTCAAAAGCATTCTGTTTATTCCGGCTGTGAAATGGGATTATCCGGAATGTATAAAGAAACGCAGCCATAGTTTCTGAACCGCTTTCGCTTGCTAATATTTTGTTAAACTTGTTAATTAATCGGGTTTTTTTTAAAGAGGTGGCAACTCCAAAAAATATTTGATATGTCAGTATATTATATCTATATTCCAAATTTAATTGAAATATATCCAGACGTTTTAGCGTGAACGAGCAACAAACATACTCACTCACAAACTTTCACATTTATTATATTAGTACATAGGATTAGTGGAATTTAACTTAAATAAAACAACCTGTTGAAATAATGTAATGAATGATGTGTAAAATTCGCGCGAATTTTACACATCATTCATTACATTATTTCGATATATTTTTTTTCGACATTTTTATTTTCGGCATTTTTTGTTTTCGACGTTTTTCCTTTCGACAATTTTTTTCTCGACATTCTTGACTTTCTAACAATTTTTTTTCGACATTTTTTTTTCGGTGTTTTTAGTTTCGACAATTTAAATTTCGACGTATCGTACCAGACCCATCTAAGGTCCTCCAGGTTATCGAAGAATTGTCTACCCAGTGTGAAGAGTCTTCGTCTGGCTGTCAGTGAATATGTAGATATCAGCTTGGGATAACATATCACACTTTACCAAGGTTTGTGGCTTGGTCGATTGCCATCAGTTCCGCCTGAAAGACGTTACAGTGGTCCGAAAGACGAAAGCTAAGGGAGATTCCCAGGTGTTCGAAGTATACACCCCTACCAAACCTTCCTTCGAGCTTTGAGCCATCTGTGTATACATGAATGGATTCGCCACTACTTAGAGCGCCTCGGTTCCACTCTTCCCTTTAGGGTAGGAGGGTCGTAAACGCTGTAGTGGGAGCAGAGTTGGGAAGGGCGCAGTCCATCAATCCGGGAAGCTTCGATAACTCGGTTAGTATTCTACCGTGACCATAACTGGTGTTTGACCACTTATTTAAACTATTCATACGAATTACCGTAACGCTTGCGACTTGTTTGGCATGTAGATTAACCGAAAGATAGTTCAGTGTGGCATACAGTTCCTTGGATGGTGTTGTTCCAATCCATATATTCCTTGATGAGGTGGCTTATATTTCTGGGACACGTTGATAGCATCTTACGCAGTCTGCTTTCCTCGGAACAGAAGTTTATCCATGAGGAACGCTTAGCATACTTAAAACGGCGTTGACAGTCCTTAAATTCGCTCCAAGAGTTGCATATATTTCTGATCTACATTCCCTTCTTAGTGAGGCCAGCATGGCTGTTAGAAAATGATATAATATGGAACGATTTTCCGTTATCCCTTGTCAAATTTAGTTTGGAGACAAACCGGTTTCGGCGTTGTGCCATCATCAGTGTCATTTTTCGTTCTTAATAGTTTCTGTTTGTCTGTCACTATTTATAGCCGTGTTAAATCAACGTTGGTTCATAGTTAGGTACGTCTCAGCGGATTATATTCTTTCGTTCAACCACAGGAAAATCGTTCCACATTACATCACACTCCTACCCTGTCGGAAACACCAACAACGAAAATGAGACTGTTAGAAAAGGTTGTTTAAAACTTTTTCCAATCTGTTTTCCTGCGGTTTAAGACCGCTTTTTGTTTCTTTATTGGTAGCGTTAGGCATACACATGGTCCGAAAAGGGGTTGTCTTTAGAGACTCTCCAGTCATTCAGAAGTTCTGCCCCCTGTTCATTGACACATGTTATGTCAAGTTCTAACAAATGTCACGAAGGTGGGAGTGTCACCTATATTGGCCTTCGTTTACCGTCGATTTCGCCTATCTTTGCTACCTTCCAATCATGGGTAGGTAGCTCAGGGTCGCCCATGCGGATCCATTTCAGCACTTCCTGTGGGTCGGTGTAGAAGTCTGGGATCCACGCCCTGGATCTTGGCCTATTGGTAAGGTCTTCCCGCAACCCGACGCGGCCGATTGCCGATGTGTAGAGGTCATCTGACCTTTGGTCCGCACACCTCGTCATTTTGACGCTTCTGGGGATGGCTACTGCCCAGGGCAACATTAGTGCCAGAATGGCGCACCTCAGAGGCCGCAGGCTTAGCCATGCGGTCTGATGTCGTCGAAGTCGCTTTAGGGATTGCACCTGTCGGTGTTTAACTTTAACGCATTTGATTTAAAGAATAAGAAAATCATGCTCCAAAGTGATTTCGCAGCAAATATCATATTTAGGACAAAGAAACTTGAAATTTCTTTAGAATTTTTAGCATTTAGAAATTTTAGCCATTTCAGTTTAAAAACAGAGAAGCAGACTTTTGGGAGCTGTTTGTGGCAAATGTAATTTTTGGGGCAAAGAACTTTCAGTATAATATATATTTGTATAATAGTATAAAATTGGAATTCGCACTTTTGTTGGGAACTAAAAGTTTTGCATGTTATTTTCACAGCCGGTTTCACCAGCAATTTAAATGGAATTTTTTTTT